TACAGTCTATGTTGTCACGGGTGAATGAGTGGCGAAATCGGTAGGTTTGTCCATAAACGTCGGGAAGACCAAAGTGTCTTCATGCTGAATCCCTGCCCAAGAGAACACACCTCCCGAGATAAGTGGCTGTCAAGTTGAAGGAGTCGACAGTTTCAAATACCTCAGACTGAGGTTGCTGCCGAATGGACAGAGTAACGATGACATCGTCTCCCGAAGTGACGCAGCACGACGAGTTTTCTGCGGCCTTCGAAAGTGCCTATGGACCCGACGCGATATTTCTATCTCCACAAGGGTCCGCGTGTACTGCGCATCTGTGCGGTCCATACTTCTATACAGATGCGAATGTTGGGCTATGCGCGTGGAAGATAAACGGAAGCTGGTAGTCTTTGACCACTACTGCTTAAGGACCATCCTTCGAGTGAAGTACACCGACTTCGTCTCAGGTGAGACAGTCCGCGATCCCTGTAACAACGTTGCAAGGATATCCCACGTCATTCAAGAAAGACGATTGAGGTGGTTTGGACACGTTCTTCGTCGTCAACCTCAAGAGCTTAGTGTTACTGCTCTCGACCCGAAACCGTTACGTAATTGGAAGCATCGAAGCGGGGGTCAACTTAAAACCTGGCTCGACTTAGTCCGCTTGGAGATGGAAGTGGTTCTTGGACCTTCGGTATTCGGTTTCCGGCGCTGACGAACAGAATGGCTCGAACTGTTCACTTCTGCGGCCACTGATCGTCGCGCGTGGAGAAGCACCGTACGGGACATCATTGGGGTCGGCTAGATCAGTCATGATCGCAGCCGCAACAAGTACAAAGTCCGATAACATAGTGGGAAGGACTGATCCCCGAAAATATATAAAATGCCGGAGACATGCACCAGAAAAAAATAAGTCTTGTTTAGGATTCATGACCTCGACCAACGGCACCCACATTAGCTCGGGTCTTAATTTGAAGACCTTAGGGTCAAGCAAAGTTCATATTTCTAATGTCTGAGTTAGGAGACATACGTTCCAGCTCAGAAGTTGCAGTTTGCCGCCTTCAGTACACAGTTCATATTCCATTTGATGTTATCGAAAGTATCGAGTACACAACTGTGAAAAATCGAGCCGTGTGGTTGCAACGATAAATATGCATGCCTCAGCATAAAATCTTTGGGGGCTATAGTGGCGTTTCGGCCGGAACATAGATAAGGTGGATCGTGATAACGAAATAGATGACAATTTGAACTAATGATCGCAAATTGGAGGAAGAATGGGGAGAAGAATACGGACTACAGCGTACAGGGTCACAGACTTTCAAGAGCATGGGGCGGCGACACCAAAAAGGAATGCAACAGGCTTACAGAAAGAATGAATTTATCAGGAACCTCCGACCAGCAGAAGGATGGTGGCGATGAGCTGTCTGTTGAAGGTTCCTTGACTTCAGACGGGGCCAGTTTGGCGAGGATTAACAGAATATGGTGCCAAATGATCTCTTCGCACCTCTTTGAGGGTTTTCTGCAAGATGCACCAGAATAGTTTGTACTCACTTAAAACCATAACTTCTATGCTCGAAACGAAGTTTGCAGAAATATGCGTTATGAAATTGCGTAAAATAGTTGTTTTAATTGCTTAGTGATCCAGCTTGAAAGTTTTATACATTTTATAATCTTGGATTTCGCGAACTCACCGAGAAGTCTACAAATCTATCGACAACAAATATTAAATCCTATTATAGTTAAAGGCAAGTAATCCTCTTATCTAAAACTATTATTTCATGGGATGAGGATGCCATGCTGGTTGAGGTGGGCGGTAGGGAAAAATGTGACTGTGAACATGTCAAATAAGCTTTCATTTATACTTTTCTGATGTGAGAAAAGATTGGCCTTACTACGGCCTTAAGGTAAGCAAATTATTGGTTAGAGGAAAAAATCACCACTTTATAAGTTAACCTACGAGAAAGTCGAAACTAATTTGATTAGTGCTGTAGCTCCATCCGCTGCTAGGAATTCGACGAGAAATTCTTCACAGCTCACAAACTTCGACAGTTCCTCCAAATGAAGTAAATCAGATGGGTCCACATCGTCCACTGTCGTATCAGAAAGTGAAGATATCAATGCGTGCAAGCAACTGACAATTTTGGCAGCGGCCAGATCCTATGTAAGAATAAAAAATACGGTAAGAATACGTATAAAATGGGAAAAAACACACTCATAGATATTTAAAAAGAAAAATATGGCAAACACAAACATTGCGAACTAAAACTAATATTTTATTGCGACAACATCAAAAAATACAGATGACTTGTGTAGGAACACTGCCACACAGTTTTTGCTTGGTTGAGGTAACACTTAGCGGAGGGAACGTAGAACAAGGACTAAACTTACTGCTGAGTCTAGAATTAGAGTTGGATGTAAGGATAGTTATTTAGGTTACACGTGATACTTAAAGCAAGAGAAATGCTTAGTTTTAGAGTTAAGCTATGCGATCGCGAAGTGTTTGTCGTATTCCGACCAATGTACTCGCTCTCAAGACGAAGACTTTGGATAACAAATGGTAGGTTAATACGGTCAAGAGTATATGATCCAATACACTGCCTCGCGCTGCTAGTTCTTACAAATTGAACATAGGAAAGCCAGTATGTTCACAGGCTTCAAACGTCTCCACAACAATATTTCACCACTACGACCACCACGAAGAGAATTGCCATGCGCATATATAAAAGACCGCTTCGGTGCACAGTTTATAGCACTTTATGCGAATAACTCAACTGCCGGGGAAAAGTAAACCTGCATTCGCTCAGGATCGTATCCTAGTA